AAAATGTCACCACAATCAAGAAATGAGCATGGGACTGGAGAGACAGTTCAGTGGTTAAGAGCAATTGCTGTTCTTGTAGAAGACTTGGGTTTGGTTCCCAGAACCCACATGGTGGCTTTTAACCATCCTTAGGCACACACAAGGGCACATACATGCACGCAGGCAAAACACTTAGACATGTACAAATTAAAAAAAGTACAATTCAAAAGCAAAAAAGACAATGAGCATACCTGTGGGCTTCAACGGACGCTGTAACGATACGCGACACACAATTACTGAAAGTAACGCTAAGTATTTTATGTAGAAAATTACTCACAAGTTACCAAACCCAGAGAAGCCCAGCAGATCTCAGCTAGCGACTGGACTGGAAGCCGAACTCCAGGAAAAAGGGAGCGAGACTTCCTGTGCGCTGTCTTTTATGCCTTCCCCCGTAACGCCCCCTAGCCATGCCCAAAAGTGGGCTTGGCTAGTGACGTAGTTCCGCCTACGTACGTATACATCTTTACGTCCAGCCGTATACGTCTTTAGTCCTGCCTAAAGTGGGTGTGGTTAGCGGTGTGGTAAACCGCCCTTTTATTACCTCATCTGTATGCGCCTCTAGTAAGTCACATGTTTAATGGCGGCATAGACTTAGTAAGTCACATGTTTAATGGCGGCATCAGACTTCCTCCTACACATACCTATCACTTAGACCTGTTTGCTCTGGTTCTTTCTATGTTTTTCTGCTTCCCAACCCCAAACCAAGCAGCTTTCTGTCATTCTTGGGGAATTTGTTTCTGTTTTCCAGATTTTATAAAGTCCCATATTTTAGCTGTGTTTAGTTTTTCCCATGGATTCTCCCTCTTCCACACTATCTGGCTCTAAGGAGTTCCTTGGGTTTTTCTTCAGGAGGACCCGTTTCCACCTACTCAAGTCACTCTCAGGTCAAATTGCAATTGTGATAAAGGAAGAGAGCTCCCTGGAAATCACTGCCTTTGTGTAAATCTTAACACTGATTATAACCACACTGCCCATTGCAGTTTTCTGTCCTCATCAATGGAGGAGAGGAGCTGTGGTCACTTAACTATGAGTCTAGGAGCCTGAGCTCTACATGTTCTTAGAGAGAAGACGCCTACTGGGTGCTATGTGTAGAGTTTTGTAATAGTGATGACATTTATTAACTTGGTGCATTCCATATCAGGCAATATGGTGAGTACACAATCCAAGTCAACCCCATGATAGCTCTATGAGGGGAATTTATCCATGAGTGAGGGGGAAACAGAAGCAGAGACTATAATTTCTCCCTAAGAAAATAGTGATTGGCAGAAAAAAATCAATTCTGACTGGTCCCAAAGCTATCTCAGGCCACTCCGTGGGGCAGCATGAGAAGCAAAAGGCCAACTCGAGTTCTGCTGAGGCAAGCCTTGAGTGCTGGAGGAGCAGGCTTCAGTGCACAAACACAAAAGAAAAAACAAATTTTCTACAGTTAGTATTATTATTACTATTATTTTGACTGATCTCCCATCTGTGAGGATGATCAAAAACAAAAGTCTCCAGCAGCTAACCCTGTTATTCTAGAGAGGCTGAAACAAAAAAAGTCAGTCTTCATAACTTCTAAGATGGCCAAAATCTCTGTCTCCACAACCTCTTTTATTCCCTACAAGGAGTCCCTATGGTGTCTGGGACATGGACATATGCTTTGGGGTGTTCAAACTCACTTTGCAGCTGCGCTGGATCCGGTCACCTGGTTGGCTCTGCTTTGGAGCCAGGTTTCATTCCCTGTGCGCTTTGTTCCTTATATTAATTTTTCTTTCTTTCTTCACCTTCATCTTTGGCTCTGGGGCCATCTAGTCCCCTCATTGCTTTTCTACGATTCTTTGTTTCCATTATGAATTATTTTCTCCTTCTCTTTTATTCCTCCTACCGGCCCTGCCCAAACTTTGACATTGTGGACATGCCGTTGTTATCTACAAATTTCCAGCTGGAGAACCACACAACTGAGTCTCACACATGTGCATGTGGGTACAGTGCCCCCCCCCACACACACTGGAGGGGGGAAGACCAACCATAATGCTATAAGTAAGTTTAGGTTTTGTGTTGGTCTTCCTAGCTATTCTGCTTGTAGCCTCTGGGTCTCAGATAGGACACACCTGCCAGGATGCTGTAAATTATACTAACCACCAAAACTTTTGGTAAAACGTAGCCAGAAAATTTCATGTTTGGCAAATTATACAGAGGCAAAGACAGATATGAACTTACTGAAAAAATGGAAAAATACAGTGAGAATAGAAGTAAATTGTGACTTAAAATATTTGGCCAGTCACTCAAACCAGGACATCTGTATTCAGTTTAGGAGACTGGTACTTAAAATAAGCTGTAAGTAGGTTTGTTAATGATAGCTTATTTATTTTTTGGAGTACAATAAAGACAAAAGCAGGGTGTGTGTGTGTGTTTGTATATGTAAGACTCAATTGTGTGTTGTCTGAAATTATGTAAATAACAAAGGCTTGTTGCAATGTCAAACTTGGACAGGAATGGTATGCAGAAGTGAGAGAGAGAGAGAGAGAGAGACAGAGACAGAGACAGAGACAGAGACAGACACAGAGACAGACAGAGACAGACAGAGACAGACAGAGACAAACAGAGACAGACAGAGACAGAGAGACAGAGATTGATTCATGGTGAAGACAAAACATCATGGTTAAGCAGGGTGAGGAATGTGATACCCAGGGAACAAGCCTTGGGTATCATTTCTCAAGCATCACCCATATTTATAAATTAAAAAGTTGATTTATTGTATTTTATTTGTTACAGAGGAACTTCTGGTGACTGTCCAGGTAGCGAGATGTCTCTGTCAATTCTAGTGTTTATGTACTATCCTTCTGTGGTCTTTGATAGAGTTGAAGACAGGTAGTTGAGGTTATAGTTTTCCTTAGTTATGATAAAAGATAAGTTACATATAAGACTTTAGACTCACAAAGATAGGATAGATGATATTTTCTTTAAATCTTACTAAATGTTAATGAACAAAATATTGTAACTATGTTCTTACTTGATAACTGTTCTGTTTTATATAATTTGACTATTTTAAAGTTAAAACCTTTCTTTTTATTGACAGAAAAGAGGAGATGATGGGGAAGTCCTGTGTATATGCCAATAAAGCACTGTTGGCCAATAGGGAAGCAAGATAGGTGGGACTAGGAGTTGAGGAGGATTCTGGGAAAGAGAGACACAGGCAGACACAATGTAGCCCACCAGAGGAGAAAGAGGTCCTGACCCTTTTCTCTGGTAAGAGAAATACTTAGATTAACAATTATGGGTTAAATACTTAAGTCAGAACTAGCCAGTAAGAAACAAACAAATGGCCAACAGCTTTATAATTAATATAGCATCCTGTGTGTTATTTGGGGACTGCAACTATGGCAGGGCCGGCAGATGGTGGGGAAGGCTACACACTACACCCCTTCTCTTTCCCTTCCTCCCCACCCCTTACCCCTTTTCTTCACTCGTCCCTTACATTCTTGAGCACCCACCTCATCAGGTGTAGCTATTTCTTTGGTCTTCATCTTGGAGGCGGGTTGTGTCCTCCTGCATCCATCAGCAGCAAGGCTTTATACATTGGAAAGCTGAAATGGCCTCCAAGACACTCAGTTGATTGGTACATTTCAGTCAACTGGAATGTTATCACTTTCACTGCTGTATTACTTGCCTGTTGGTGTGATTCTCAGGTGACAAATATATTTGGACTCATCGTCATTTTACAATTTGTGTTGGTTGTGCCAGTTTATGGGTTCATAATAAAATTTTCAGAAAATGCAACTTCTAATGATATTTGTAATTTCATTTTCTATGAGGCAAGAGCCAGGCACAGCTTGCTCTGTCCTCTGCTTCAGAGGCTCTCACCAGCTGCTCTCAATGCCTGCACTCCTTTCAAGGGCTCAGCTAAGGGTGCTGTGCCCAAGCTCTGTTACATGGTTGCTGGTGACACTCTGCTTTTCGGGTTCTTGGCTTTAGACTGTTATAAGTTCCTTGCCACTTGAAACTTTGCTCTGTATAGTGATGTCATGGCAGTTTTCTTCCTCACAGAGAGAAAGCAAGAAATACTAGCAAGATGGGAAATTATAATCCTCTGTAACCCAAGCTTGGAAGTGATACATGGTTATTTTCGCCACATTTTACTGTTAAAGTTAAGCTACCAGGCACAGGATATACTCAATAGGATCTTTTGTGCTGTTATGAATGCCAGTAGGCAGGGCTCACTGCACTCCTCCCTGCTATAGTCATGTGGTTACATCATGATCTCCACAGATGTCCTGCCTATTCTCTTGAACCAACTCAGAAGATATGACTTTCTCTCCACCTTCCTTCTCCTGGCATTTGCTAGGATTTTTAACTCCCTTTCCCATTGTTTTCCCTTTTGTTGCCACTGGGCATCTCTCTGTCCCATCTCTAGTCTCTTTTATTAAGGAGACTAAAAGCCCCCAAAGCCCCAATTTCCTCAGAAGGACAGGCAAAATTTTAGGTTTTGCTCTTTGTGTATGATCATACAGTCACAAATTCTTGCTTTTTATCTTTTTCTTTTTCCTAAACAGCTTTTTTTGATTTGTTGAAAAAATAAAAAGAAGAGGAAAAGAAAACATTCTTTACTAAGTCATATACAAACAGGAACCATTTTTAGCTCAAAGATCAACAGACAGAATTTGTTTCCAGGGGACAGTTTACTGATGAATTTTTCCTTTTCACTAAGGATTAGCAGATGGCTCTGGGTAAACATTTGAGTTCAGTGCACACTAACCTGTCTGAAGTCTTTCTCTCTATTTTGAGATTCTGGGTATTTCTTTCACTTTCTTAGTTGACTGGAATATGATATATGCTTCCAGAGGTGTACAATAAGGAAATGACATAAACTTGGAGTGCTGAGAACTAACCAAGTGTACATTGTGATTATGTGCCATTTATATTTGGATACCTTCTGAAGAAATAAAATTTTAGTTTTCAGGAAAGAAAAACATTAGCATTGATAATTTCTAAAACTTTATTATGGAACTGAAAAACTCAATTAAAACATATCACCATCTCAAAATCCCACAAAATCGCATCATTTCTCATTTCATTTGATTTCTTATCCTAAAATGACCAGTATATTTATTTGTATTTTCCAAAGCAATGATCATTTTCCCAGTAAAAGAATGACATAATTTTTACTATATTGGTTAGATCCTTTAGCTCTATAAAACATTGTACTCAAAGTACAAAAATAAGTGCTTTATGCACACTCTTTAATACTGTTTTTTATTTGTCTTTCTGTTGGAACTCTAGATAAAGCCATATAAATAGCAATAAAATGAAAAGACGCAAGAGATTGTTAACACCTGGAAAATGGAAGTACAGTTTGCTTAAAGCTTCCTTTTCATTACAAGATAAGAGATAATAATAATATCTGACTATATTGCAGCCCCAAAAATTCGTTTAAAATAGAGGTTTCTACATGGAAGTGATTAAATATCTAAACCAAGATAATGATGATTGATTTAAATAGACATATTTGTAATCTGAGCTTTCAAATATCTCCTAGGAATTATAATAGGAAACAACAAGTTTCAAAATAAAATCGTGTATTTGCAAAAGGTATGAATACTGTGCTGCAAATCATTTACTACCAAAACATGAAGAAATGTCATGTTAAACAGTGTTCTGAATTTTATAAACATAAGCATACATAGAAAACAGAAATACTTAATAACCAAAATGTTTTCAAGTAAATAAGCCCAGTGCTGACTGATGAGCCCCTACATCATTGTATACATTCCTTACGGCTGTAGTTAACTAAACCTTTGCTTTCTACTTTTGTACAGGTTTTGGTATTTTTTTCTGGGAAGAAATACTTGAAAACCCATTTGATTAAAAAAACAAAAGCCAATCACTGCTCATGTTGGGTGGGAGTGCTGGAGATGTAACAGTTAAGGGTAGAGTTGCTTTTTGGGGGGGGGAGTCTGAGCAAGTGGCAAAAGCAACCGTCTGATCCAGTCATGTTAAGCTTTGACAGTGTACAATGTGCCCCTGGATTGTGCTCCCACTGCAGAGAGGAGCAGAAACACTCGTGTTTGCACTCATTGTTTTGGGGCAAAGAATGGGTGCGTAGTAAACAAAGATCACAGTAGAGGAAGGCACATTCTGTCATGAATGAACAGGCATGTCAGTCACTACGGCTTGTACAATTCTCAACATTAGTAAAGGCAATAACTGGAGGGGCGGGAATTTCATGACAAGGAACATAACCAGTTGATGCTACTAAAAAATGATGAAGGCTTTGTACGGGAGAAGGCGAGAAGTTTGGGTGAGGAAGTTGAAGAGCAACAGGAAGAGTGAAGTTCACTACAAAGGAAGTTGGGTTTGGGAACATTCGTGAGGCAGAAGAGAAAAGGCAACATGGAAACATTTACACGAGAAACTCTTTCTAGTCTGAGCTATAACTAGCTTAACTGAAGAAAAGAGAACCAGCACAAGCTCCCAGATTCTTCTGTGCTGTGCCAATCTTGGCGGGGTAAGCAAACATTCCCAACGGCCATCTTTTATCTTGCCTACCCCCCCACCCCAGTCTGGCTTAGATTGTACCGGTTCTGCCAAATGAAGGGGGACTCAGGTCCACGGCCCAGGGAGAGCCAGAGAAAAATGGAGCTCAGAATCAAGTTGGTGAGAGGGACCCCTAGAGGGAGGGCAGCTCTCAAACGACTTGGCAGAGAGGTGATGCCTTCCTTCAGCTGGCTGTGGTCCTGCACCAATCAGCAGCCGAGCCAGCGAATTCAAGGTGTATTCCCCACCCCGCCCCCCGCACTAGAAGAGCAGGATGTCCTAGTCTGAAGACTGCCAAACCCAACCAACATAGCAACCCACAAAGCATAAGTGGGGGAGGGTGCTTCTGTGGGGAGATATTTGAAATTAAGAGGGGACACTGTCTCCGTGGGGTTCACAGTCACAGGGGGGCACTGTCCTGTCCAATAGGATTTTACTCTTACTCTTAGAGAGACGTTGCTAATCCCTGATCCGGAGAAATACTCATCAGTCCCCCAAATGTTCTTGTGACTTCCTCTCCTATGGGCTGTTTCTTGATACCTCCTTTTCCATTAAACCTGTCTACCACTCTGATTTTAAATTCAAATTTTATCTCATATACATATAAATAATATATAAAATCTACTCAAACAATACAAAATGTGCCAATTCTCCACATTAATGATAACCTGGTGTATCTCCCTGACAACATAGATTTTAGTCATGGCTCAGTTGACCAAGACAGAATTCTAAGAGTCATGTAAAATGTACTGAAAATTAAATTGAAAATTATAGATAAAGCATTTTTGCTGTTCTATGTGACTGAAAGAATTTTTAAAAACCCTTGAAATAGAAACTAATTTTAGGTAGTAACTTATGGCTCTCCTTGTTAGATATTTTTTATTACTTGGTTATTTGAGGTAGTTTGCCAGCAACATTTTGAGCAGTGCTGTTTGGCATGATCTTGAGTTGGCTTCTGGACACACCTTAAGTCATTTAGGACAATTTTGTTTGCTGAAGTAGCAGGTGCTCCTCTTGATTTACTTAGGGTGTGGGATGGAAGAACAGCCATTTGAAAATGGACAGCTGACAGATGACAAAAGTGAGACCCAATTTCACCTGGTTCCATTTTCTCTATTCCAAGTAACATCAAGCAGGGATTTTTATCAACACACTATTGATAACTGGACTTTAAAAAACCAAGTACTAATTTGTTAGATGATTCTAAATGATTGTTCAGGGTCTTTTGTTGGTTTTATTTGGTTGGCCTGCTGATTTTATGTTTTCCTATGAAGAACTAAGAAGTATGAGGGGAAGAAACAGGAAAATGGATTAGGAGTCAAAAGGGCAGATGCTGTTAGTGCTAATTTTCTAAATTTAAAGTATAAACATTATGCAAAACTAGTTTTTGGTTTGACACTTGCTCTTTTCAAAGCTTATCTTTGTGGCAGGAGGCTTGGTGGAGCAAGCCTTTGATCCCAGTGCTTGAGAGGCAAAGAGGAGGTTGAAGAGTTTGAGTTCATCCTGAGCTGTATCGGGAGAGTCTGTCCTAAAAATGTTAAAAATAAAAAGGAAGAAAAGAAAACAAATAAACTGAAATCCAATAGCAACACCTCCACTCAAGATGACAATTTGTTTTCTCTGTAGATTCAAACAATTACACAAAAACTTGGCCTATCACAGTGGTGACACACTGATAACTTTCTATGAATATATTATAATGAATTCAAAGTCTTCTGTATATATTACTAAAACAAAGTAAAAATTCATCACTCCCTGCCCCAAAAGCTGTTTCATTGGTTCACTCCATAGTATACAGATCAGCCCCAGGGAAGCACAGGTTAGGAACAATTGCAGTTTTTCTCAAAAGTAACTGTGCATTGTCCCACTGGTAATTTTCTGGACACTTTCATTTTTTTGTAGTGTTTGGAATTGTTAATCTTTTTAATGTCTCCTTATCTGTATTAAGCCCTTCTCTTTTCCTTTTAAATGAATCTCAATCTTCCACTGCATTAGCGCCTCTATTTACCTTGAAAAGACATGTAGTATATACCCTTTGCTGTTTGTTTTGAAGATGTTAAAGGAATGCAGAACTTTTGCAGGTAGAATTTGGAATGCTTTTTCAGTCTGAGGAGAAATTTGCCTTCCCAGAGGACAAATGCAATTACTCTCTCCGAGAATAAAAGCAGGCCTGTGGTGAGTGTAAATTTGGATATAAGAATTACTTTAAGACATTCAATTTTCTTTTTTCTTTTTAGAGGTTGGCTCAAGAATTAGTTTGAAGCCAATATGAATTTCATTCAAACTCGAACTGTTGTGACAACTATATAGCTGTTGGTTTTAACAAAGACAATGTATATGCATTTTGTATTTGGTGAAGGTTGAATTATAAATGAAAGAAGCAGGGGAGATCTGCAATGAGTCTATAGTCTCCACGACAAGTTGCATATTGAAGTCCAGGAATCTATACAAGGCACTGACATCAGGTCCCCACTCCATGACACTCACGTAATTGGCGTATAACCTTGACCTTAGTTTATTGAAAGTTCTCCAGGTATTTTTGGATGTGTTGCTAAGTTTAGGAGTTCCTGCACTCAGCATCATGATGCCTCAAGGAAGAAATTGTAAATCAGAAAATCCAGAGCCTTCCAGCTGGAGGGTCTCAACTTTAGATGTCCAGCTGGAATTCCTAAAAAATGAGGGTTATGAGACATTCAACTATGATTGACATTTCTCTGGCTTTCATTGGAACCAGCCTGATTTAGGTTCCAGAATTCCATTAAAGAGTTGACAATATTTTCTACACCTTTGTGTTTGTTTGCCCTTCAGTTCTACAGATTTTCATGTGGGCCACCTCTTTATTTATTTTTTAACAGGAATTCTAGTGTTATGTCTCCTAAATCACTACTAAACTGGGAGTAGTGGCTATATTCAGTAGTGGATTTTGACTTTCTGTTTTGAACATCCATAATCTGTATCAAGTGTCACATCCTTATAACCTCCATTTGTGGCTATAGCACCCACCCCCCATCACTATCAGATGCTCTGAATACTCAGGAACATTTTGACAAGTAACACTTTTACTGGACTCTGAAGAGATGGTCTCTATGCAACCATGATAGGTGTAAGGCTTTCCTGGAATAGTTTCACAATAAAAGGACTCAGCCATGGTAAAGTTCCCTACACATATTGAAAGAAGATCAAAAGAAGGGGAGGGCAATGATTCTTAGTGGACTTCATATGAACTGTGTAGAGAATTCAAAGCTTACCTAAAGTTCATATGACTGTTTGGAGCTGGGTGTGGTGTTGTATATCAGCAATCCCAACACAATGGTGCTTGAGAAAGGAGGAACACAGGTTGAAGGCCAGCCTAAGCTACAGAGTGAGAAAAGCAAAACAAGCTCACCTTTGTATTTGAAAGGACTTTTTGGCCAATATCTGATGATGAAAATATAGCATACTTTGTAGATCTGGTTTACTTTACCAGTGTTTGTGTTTAGCAAAATGAGTCTGAGATGAAAGCAAATAGTATGAACAAGTCGGATTTCCAGACAAGAAAAAGTCATTTTTCACTCCAGTACTTAGTGCTGGCACGATTTCTGTGATTTTGGTGGGATAGAAAAACAGTGGCTTAATGTGTTGAATAAATACAGGGCTTAGATTTGTCTCAAGCATATCTGAAACACATTATATTGATTTCTAAAAAGTTCCCAGAGGCTTAGATGCTGATCTAAGACACAATGAGGGGAGAAAAATTTCAGATCAAAAGTGACAATGGAATCTATAACATTTTAGACAGTTTTCATGAGGCTTGGGATTACCCTACACTGTAGGCAATGCTGAATACCTCTTACAAAGCCTCCTGCTTTTTTATGGTCTCTTTTGATTTTGTGAGTGACGAAGTAGTGGTAAACCATGACTAAGACAGGAGTTTTCCTGTCTGCCTTACTACTGACTTGACTGCTTTGCTCTGCCTGGCCCCAGCTCCTGGTACTAAGAGAGCTTATGCCAATTTGGTAGGGTTTTATCACCTTCCTGAGACACATAGGATCCTTGGAAGAACAACTTTTGCTGTCACTGGCTCTTTGCATTTCTTTTAAGCAAAAGGCTTCTTGACATTTACTTCCATTAGAGAATAATATTCACATTTCATGAGTAATATGATGAATAAGTCACACAGTCTCAGGAAAGACATTGTTTTGGGGGAAGGTATGACTTATGATCATGAGGGATCTAGTTAGAGGTTCACAGCTTCTACTGAGCATTCTGTAAGTCTTATTCTTAGGAGAAAGGGATCTTCAGAAGGCTCCGTATGCATCTCCTCGGGTAGTCACTGCAAATGTAGGGTAGACCTCATAAGCTGTATATGCTGCCAAGTCTTGTCCGAGTGTCACTGCTTGCTTGAGTTGGGCTGCAGACACAGGGGCGGTGGCACTGGGGACAGCATATCCTGGAGGAGGAGGCAGAGAACTTTTTTTGAAAGGAATTCAGATTTCCTCCCTTTTTGGCACATTCTTTTCTTTTGTGGTATGAAGAATTAGCATATTTCTTAAAACAAATGATATGTATGATGAAAATGTGCTCTGAGAAAACACAGTCTGTTGACTCGTGTAGAATAGCATTGGTGGGTTTTGTTTGGTTTATTTTGATTTTGCTATTTTAGGTTTTTGACACAGGATCTTTCTTTGTAGCTCTTGTTAGCTATCCTGGAACTCACAGGTAGACCAGGCTAGTCTGGACCTCATAGATATCCACCTGTCTCTGCCTCTTGAGTGCTGGGACTAAAGGCAAACACTATGCAACTGGAATAAAATTGGAAAATTATAGATGACATTCTCCAGAGGGAACCAACTTTCTGCACATCAGCAAATAGAGACATCAGAGAGAGGGTCAAAGAACAGAAAGGTACCTTATGTTGCTGGCCAGCAATACAGAACTTTCCCATGGATGTATATACAGAAATGTATACATGAGAGGTAGGTTGTCAAGGAGTTTGCAGGGCACAGGAATGGTGGGTGGATTCTATGGGTGTGCTGAACACTAAACTGTCCTAAAATATCACTCTTAAAATATTAAAAATGTCAGGGCATGGTGGTTCATGCCTTTAATCCCAACATGCCAAGGAAGTTGGGACAATGGTAGTAGGATCTCTGTGAATTTGAGGCAGCCTGGCCTACATAGAGAGTTCTTGGACAGCCAGGGCTACAGAGAGAGACCATGTTTCAAAAAAAATAAATAATAAATAATAAAATAAAAAGTAAAGACTTTCATACAAGGTGAATAAATAGAGTCAGGTTATTCTAGTAGAGGAGATACTGTACTGTTTTTAGGGTGTCTTAATCATTACCATAAAACAAGTAATTTTTAAAAAAGATTTTTTTGTTTAAAACTGCAACCTGGTTTATTATTGTCTATTACAGATGCATAAAAGATCCCTCATCACACAAACCCTGAGAATTACACTTTTGGTTTACTTTAGAAAAGTAACACAAATCACACTATAAAAAGTCTTTGAAATTGGCACAAAACATTGTTGTAATATTAAAACACCAGTTTTAAAAGTTCAGTAACTAATGGGGTAGCCTTATATGGATACATGGAGAACTGTGGAAGCTATCTAATTTAACCAATGAAAAGGATACCTTTCTTTCTATTTTTGGATAAATGCTAATTATGCTTTCCCTGACACTCTGAACTTTCTCACCCGTTTTATGCAGAAGTCTCCCAGCCCCCATTGCCTTTGCCAAGTGGCTGCATGTGGCCCTCTAGAGCAAACTGCATGGCTTACTTTCCTTTTTCCCTATATCCCTTTGGGAAGCTGTCCAGATTTACAGCTTCCTTACCTATTGTCTGTCTGTCTGTCTGTCTGTCGTCTGTCTGTCTGTCTATCTATCTATCCATCCATCTTAATATCGAAAGTGAATGTCCTCAAGCTTTCTTTTGAATCCATTTCTAAATTCTTACATTAAACAGACTAATAACCCTTAATGGGAACCTCAATTTCTCTGGTAACACCAGTCTTTCAGGGAAAGACTGCCTCAAGAGATGAGGTAGAGAGGTCAGAGAAAAGACTCTGTGGTTGAGTGCATACTGCTCTCACAGTGGGTCAGACTTTGATTTGCAAGCACCCATGCTGGGTATCCAGCTGCGACTTCAGGGACCTAACACCTCTGGCCTCTTGAAGAACCTGCACCCATGTAAACACAATGTAAAAACAATGTAAACACACACACACACACACACACACACACACACACACACACACACGTCCAAGTAAATCTTTATTTAAAAAAAAAGAGGTAGGGCTGGGAGTTGGTGGCATATGCCTTTAATCCCAGCACTTTGGGGGCAGAAGCAGGCGGATCTCTGTGAGTTCAAGGCCAGCCTGGTCTACAGAGTGAGTTCTAGGACAGCCTCCAAAACAATACAGAGTAATGCTGCCAAGAAAACCCCAAAAGATATATCTCTATCTCTATCTCTATCTATCTATCTATCTATCTATCTATCTATCTATCTATCTATCTATCTATCTATCTATCTAGAGAGGTAGAATGTTGTAGAGGAAAGCAGCTGACCCTGTCCTCTGGCCTCCATAAACATACATACATACAAACACAAACATGTACGTACAGTCATATAGACACAAACAAAACATAAAAAGTTGAAACAAACTCCAAACAACAACTAAAGGTTAACCAATAGCCGCCAAGTTGCCTACCCTTCCCAGTCCCACGCTTCTGTATCTGTAAATAAAGGGATTATGTTCTCACACAACTGTAAAGTGCCATGAGGGTCACTGGGGAAATATATACTTTGCTAAGCACTTCGGTGAGTACCCAGCTCATGGCAAGAACTGCTAAGTACCAGTTAATAATAATACCCAAGTCTCTTAATAAGAGGAAAAAAAAACCCAATCTGCACCAACCCAGACTCTGGAGTGTTGACTTTTTCAGGGTCACACATCTGCTTTAAGCAGAGGCAGATGGGAACTGGCTTAGGCTGTTCAGTTTCCTCATCTCTGCTCTGGTCCCAGATGGTGCTAATCAGAGTTATTGTAGGTGAGGTTCCTAAAAGAAAGGATTCCCAGGTACTCTGCAACCTCCAGGTTCTGGCATAACTGACCCCCTCCCCAGTACCTGGGAACACAGTGGCGGGTGTGGCGGCGGCAGCTGCGGTCCCGGTGTCACCTCCTTCTGTGGGGATGCCTAGGGTCTGGAGAGTGTGCTCTGCCGCATATGTCTTTGCTTCATCCACATAGGCGCTTAGCTTCGGAGGTGTGAAAGCGTGTCTGGAAAACGCAGCCAATCATGTTAATTATTCACAAATGTAAGTACCCAGTCAGGTTTAAAAAATCAAAGGAGATTTTAGCTCTTAAAGCTGATTGGATGATGGGATTCCATGTATTTTCCCCCTTCTGTTTACTGTCAAATTTCTACTTATACACATACACGGGAGTATTTGGGAATTGATCTAGCACCTTGGTAGTCCATGACATTCTTGGGGAACATTTGTAATTTTTGCTTTATGACTCTTCTGAGGTATGAGTGGTCCCTAAAATACATAAATGCAGCCTGGATGTAAAATTCAGAAGATGATATCCACTAAAAGATCAGATCTTTGATATAAAATTTAAAAGGTGGGTCAGAGGGTTATGTAGTAAATGGCAACTCCATGAGGGTAACTTGTGTCAACCTAAATGCTGCAGCAAGGAACCTGTTATAGTCCTCTGTTCCCCTTAGATCTCTACCCAGCCCTGGTGCTCCCTTAGTCAGTTATCCTACAGTCTTCCTGCTGTATGAAACTTTGGGGCTTTTAGATGGCATCTAATAGTCAGGTAGATGAGCATGTTGCTATTTCATTCAATTACAAAGGAGTAGGCAGCAGACTTGAGTATGCCATTCGAGTGATGATCAAATACACTCAACACACAGGCTAACCTCATTCTAAAATCTCAAGTACTAGGAGCTTGGAAAAGGTACCCACATTGCAGGATTCTGGCTGGCCAACGCTGGGATAGTTACTTTGTATAGGAATAACTGTCTTTGGTCTTGTCCAATGGCAGAATGCAGCTGGTACACTGGCTGTCCCCAGTTATTTTTCTGACAGATTTCTTCCAGTATCTACAAGAGTAAAAAGAAAAGATTTCTCCCTCAAATGCCATATTTGCATTACTTCTCTTTTAGTCTCCGAGTTCTGATCTTCAGTTTCAACTAATAGAAAAGAGAAAATGTCATGTGGTTTAATGACTCATAAAATTTAAGTTGAACTCAATCTGAACTCCATTGAAACCATAAATGTCTATTGTAGTTCATAAAATCATTTACACACCATTTGCTCCAATAGTTTCAGTTTATTCCATTATACATGCATGTCACACATATACACACTTACTAAGAACTTAATAATTTTTCGTGTTTTCCAGTTCTTAAGAAATTGGTGCCATAGCACTGTGTAGATGGATTTGCATATTATCTCCCTACCCAGGCTCTTTTTTAAAAAAAAATTTAGGTTAGAAACAATCTTGTTTCACATGTCAATCCCAGCTCCTTCTTCCTTTTCTCCTCCCCTCATCCCAGGCACTTGTTCAAAGTGGCTTAGGGAAGTTAACCAGAGATTGTGTTTTTACTTTGTGCCATTTGTCATAGGGTTTTTAACCTCACATTTTTAAAAAAAGAATTTTTGATTTTGAAAAGTTTCTAAAATTTTATGTTCTCACCTTATTTCATTTATTTTTTATTTTATTTTATGTATATGAGTGTTTTACTCACATACATGGTGCCTTCAGAGGCCCAAATATCTGGAACTGGAGTTTCAGACAGTAGTGAGCCACTATGTGGGGTTCAGGAACCCGACTTGCGCCCTTCACAAGAGCTGCAATTGTTCTTAACCACTGAGCCATCTTTCCAGCCCCTGCATCAGCATTTAATAATAAGCACTAATAGGTGTCCACAGTGGTCATTTTTAAAAATTTACTTGGCAGTGTGCCACTTTTAGCTATTTACGACGATCCATTTTTATTATCCATCTGCATGTTTAGTTTTCCTGCTGTAATCACACAAAACTGAATGTTTTCTCAAAAGACTCATGTTTTCTTTACCCTGAAGCCAGTCTTGGTGGAGCTAAGGTCCTGGTGCTCTGTTCACAAGCAGGTTCAGTATCAAGAAAATGGTGCAACACAACAATAGGATGATGCTGCTGGGCGTTGGTGGTGCACGCCTTTAATCCCAGCACTTGGGAGTCAGAGGCATGCAGATCTCTGTGAGATCGAGGCCAGCCTGGTCTACAGAGAGAACAACGCCTCCCTGATCTCCGGAGATCCTTAGCTCATTGTTTTCATGGCTTCTTTCTGCCATGACATTTCTAGTTTATTAATTTTAAGATTGTGCTTAATTTTTCCCCGTTATTAAAATGCACTTGGTGGCATTATCTGTTGCTTATAGAATATTTGCTGAGGTTCCCAAGCAATAGTCAGGTAACTTTTGGGGATAGATCAACTTGTCTACCCATTCATGCCAGTTGAGCAAACACACTGAGGGGTGTGACCTCTGCAGCTGCCGGCTGGGCAGGGCAGGTTTGAACCCTGTCTACTGGCTGGAGATTCCTATCTCTGTTGTGGGTGTTAGTCTCCAGCCACAGTGGCTAGGGTGGCATGGTCTTTGATTTTTCAACTATATACGTAAAAATTCAGAGACAAAATTAGTTAAATGCTTCTCATTATGGCCAACTTCTTACCCTGGTTCAGTGTATAAGCAGATCATTTTGCTCAGAATAACTTTTTTTCACCATGATACCTGATTTCATTGTAATTATCTGTTTATGTGTCCCTATTATCCCACTGTTATATTATTTTTAGCATCTCTAGTGTCTCCTATTCACGGTACACCGGAGAAGCCCAAGAAATTCTATTTTTTAAACAAATAATTCTTGCAATAGACGTTCTTCTATTTATTGCTTTCTTAATGCCTGAGTAGAGTTTGAAGAAGCATTATGTAAAGGTGCATGAAAGAAAAACACCATCAACCTACTCTTCGATTCTCAGGTCAAGCTCTTAGACACCATCTTTTCCCCTTGCCTGCAGCCTGAGGCTCTTTCTTTCAAGCTGTAGTTCTACCTTCCTCCTGAGGGCAGAGGCTTTCCCTCTGCAGCCACAGACTGTAACTCTAGCCAATCAGCTAAAATGTCTTCAGGAGAAGCAGCACATGATGTACACCAATGGGATAACCTTGGCTTAGCAGGGACCAGGTCTGTTTTGTTTTAATTTTCAAGCATGGCATTTAGTTCCCCTATTGGAACCTTTATAACTCTTGGTTTCCACTAATAAAACAACCATAGAAACAGAGACAATTAAATGAACGCAAAAAGCAGTTACCATCACGACACTGCCCTATGACAAGCATTGTAGAAGACTTTATATAACTGTTGGCAGTTTATAGTAAGGGTTTATGTAGGCTTCATGGTGGAATGTTCACCTTTTTTAATCTTTGAGATTTTAATATAATGATAACATTTCTCTCTTCCTTTTCCTCCATCCAAAGCCTTCTACATGGTCCTCCCTACTCTTCTTCAAATTCATGGCCTCTTTTTTCATTAACTATATATATATATGTGTGTGTGTGTGTGTGTGTGTGTGCGTGTGTGTATACATATATATTTCTAAATAACTTGCATGTGTGTTTTCAGGGCTGACTGGCACTGGACAATCAAATTGGTGTTTTCTTCCCTGGGAAAGGCTACTTCTCCTCCTTCCAGCTTTACTTGATTGCCTATAGTTCTTTGAGGAGGCTGAGGTACAGGGAACTTTTCCCCATCCACGTTGGCATCCACTGTTGTTATTTTAATGCCATGTTCCCCCAAAAAAGCCCTAAACAGTCTACACAATGTTCCCAGCTATGATTCCTTCTCTTTGGTTGTTGACCAACAAGTTTTAATAAGCATTTATTTTGAGCTATGGTTTTCATTTCATTTTATTTTCATTTAAGATTCTGGTTGACATTATTTTTAAAAAAATTTTTTGTCTGTTTGTTTTGCATTTTGCTGGTAAACTAAATGAAAGTCCTTTCAGTGCCAGAGTGGCAGCAGTCTCGGCATCCCTCCTGAGTGTGTTAAGCTGATTGTCACAGAACAGCAGCCCAAGCAGAGATCATTTGAAGGATGGTTCCTGGTCCAATGTAAGTACCTCTGGAGTGATATTACCTACCTGAGGAGCAAGTTTAATTCCTTGTGGTTTTAAAGAGACAGGATTCATCGGGGTGAGTTCCATCCCAGGTAGAAGGTCATAGAGTTTGTCTTCTCGCTTGTCTCCTTTGACCTGGTATCCACGACCCAGGCCTGTGTATGCCAAATACCCACGACTGCCCAGTCCTCTCACTCCCGCAGCCCCTACAGGGACATTCATGTAAATTTCTAGGAATGTAAGAAGGCATTAAACCGAATCAAACCACCAGAAAATCACCCTGAATCTTACTGTAATGAAAAAGTTAGCCCAAGTCATTTTGATTACTGCCCTGAGGATAAACAGATAACCGAAGATTCTAATGCAATGAAACTCAACATCAGGTAAGGCTCACTGTAGACTCTCACTTTCTTAAACCTCCTTGGGAAGAAAACAGTCCCTTCCAGGAGACTGAGAAATATACAAGCCATTTAAAACTTTGTCAGAGAGAAAAGCATTTTAGTTATCCTTTTGTTAATGTTTTTTTTGGGGAGATACACTAAGGTTCAATATGATCTTATTAAAACATCCCAACATAATATGGCCACTTAAATTATAGTTAGTTTGGTATAGACTATTACTGCCATTCTGCCAGTAAGCCAGAATGAATTTGATTATTATATCCCAGTGAGTTATCAGAAAAACATGTAGAAAACATTTTTTTTCTTTTTTAAGTTCACTGTTCTCTCTGTTATACATTGTCGATGTGGGGCTTACATTTCCATTGAGTTTCACACATAGATTCCTTTTGATTTTTGTTTTGCCACATTGCTATATTGATTTCCTGTTGGTGACATAAAAGAATAAACCATTAAGTTGATCACTCTTCATCCATAAATATAATTCATTGATTACTTTTTTTTGTTAAGGCTATATATTATTTTCCCTTGGAATGGAGTTTGTTTTTTTCTACATCACAACTGGTTGATAATATGTACGATATACAGTTTAATTAATGATGTATTATTCATATGCATAATGTTTCAGTGGCATAATTTGTTATAATATATAGAAAGTATTTTGAATAAAACCTTGATTATTACTTTTACATTGCAATTTTGGTAGGGGTCATTGTATTGTGAGCGTAGAACTTTTAAGTCCATTGAAGAGGTCTTAAAATGCTCAATTCGTTTTTCCCTGAAAAAGAATGCAACACAGTAGGTAATTGTTTCCATAGTAATTTGGATGGGCCTCTTCTAAGTTATACTCAAGAGTTGATTTAAATACATCATTTGTTCCTATTTTCCAGATTTCTGTCATATGCGGAAAAAAGGATTGGGATTCAGATGATGTTAGCCATAATCAAGAAAAACTACAGTGAAAGATACCACAAGACAGAGAAAAACTAGCTTCATATATATGTATACATACACATATATATGCATGTCTGTGAATTTACTGAGCTTGAATTTACTGAGCTCAGAAACCTGTTCAAACAGAGAATTCAAACATGCAATATTTCTGGTTTGGCAGTGAAATCTATTTTGGATTTATTCAGTTTCTTATATACTAAAGAAACATAAATTTTCTTAATAGTTTGGTTTTTTTTCGATTTCATCACACACAGCCAGATGTGGTACACACCTGCCATTACGGTTCTTGGGAGGCAGAGGCAGACATTGTGAGTTCAAGACCAGTCTGAAATGTATAGTAAGCCCTTGTCACCAACATATAGACAAACACATGGCATAACAAAGGTATAACACACATATCTGGGAGAGTTGTTCAGATGAGAACACCTCATGTATATGAAACATATGGATGTTAATTTGTGATTGGCATACAAAGGTGATGTTCATCAAGCCACCATCAAGTACATATATGCCTTCAACTGATTTTGCTGTTTGAGGCGGTTTCCACTAGGGCATGCTTCTCTCCCTTAAAAGTTCTATGATCAGTCTAATCAGGTACATGTTTGTGCCAGACGGGAGTCTAATAGACAGCAAGAAGCAAAGAGTGTGGCACTAGGTTGTATTCTGTGCATATTTTATGGATCTAATTTGTATAGACTCATTCATACCAATTCCTGACAAGTATTTTTCAATAACCAGTTGTAATGTGAAAAAAATAGATTCCTATAAAATAAGAGATACTGACATATTTGATTTTTAACAAACAGTTTTCTAGTCTTTTTCTCCCAGTGAATCCATCCAATCTGTCTAAGGCTACTGGAGCTATAGTTTATAGTTCACTTGAACTATATAGTTTATCAATCATTTGAGATTTAGGAGTTATGGTAAAACCAGCACTAAATAGCATTACCTCTGACAGAAGGGGCCCGGATGAGGGCTCTGTTGCTGAGATGTCCTTTGGTGGCTGGGATATGAAGACTTGGAATGGCTGCATAGGCTTGGGGGGTATAGAAGACAGGAGCTCCAAGATAGGCTGTGGTGGGGTCATAAATATGGCCCAGAGGGTACGTGTATTCTCCTTGCATCATGGTGTTCCTAGCACCTGTGCCCCGGGTGTACCTAACATAACTGTCCTTGTCCACTGGCTTGGCCAAGGTTACTTCAATTGGTGAACCATCTAGCACCTGTTATAGACAGCAAGGAAAAGGCAAACTGAGAAGCCATTTTGACAACTCAGGGTCATACAGCACATCTACATTTGCTGTATTTCCACTGACTTGCAATTCTTCATGTTTTTGTCTCTTAATTAGGTTCATGCTTCTGTATCAGCTGACTATTCTCTGATTGGTTTTGTTGGGAATTGCACAAGATGACAACAGGTTTAACAATGCTATATTGACTACTGAATTTATAATATAAAGACAATCAGTGAGACATAAAATTATTCAATAATTTCTATCATGTATGTTTTATGTTTTAAAATTACATAGTTACATAAATAGAAGAAGTTGGTGATCTTTATGGGTAGAAAACAAATTACACAGTACAATCAAATGAAGGTGATGGAAGCCATTAAAGATATTTTATCATTTGTCAACACTAATGTGATGAAGCCCTGTCAGGCCTTTCCAAATGGCTCATTAGAACAGCTACACAATAGGTGAGAATTTCCTGGGGAGGGAGAGGAGCCTAGGTAGATCCTACTCAAGGAAGAGGAATCTACTAAACTGTTGCATTGTACTTATAAAGCAAATGTTTGCCTTCCTGAAAACTGGGAGCTAATGACCAGTGGCAGCACGGGTGGGGATATAGGTGAAAGGGAGACTGAGAACCCTCAAGTCAGGTACAACTTAAAACATGCCCTTAGGAATTATTGCAGGAGCCAGGCAGGTGGCATATACCTCTAATCCTAGCACTATGGAGGCAGGCAGGAGGGTCTCTATGAATTCGAGGCCAGCCTGATCTATAGAGTGAGTTTTAGGGCACCCAGAACCACATAGAGGTAACTTTCTGTTTCAACAAAACTAAAATAAATAAACAAATAATTAAAAATGAAAATAAAAGAAACTTTTGTATATCCGGGGAACAGAGAATTCTCTTTGTTAGCCCTGTGAGTCTTGGGGATTGAAATCAGACCACTAGACTTGATACAAGCACCTTTACCCTCTGAGCCATCTTGTTAGCCAGCCTGTGCCATTTCACTGATCTCCTTGAATTATAAAATGATCAATACTTTACAATAGACATTCAAATTCTCAGTTTGTCTAATGAATATAAATACCCATAGGTATACTAAGAAGCATACAAAAATTATTTTTATATTATGCCTAAACAGCAGTTATGAGTATTTACTAGTAATATTTATTAAATGCATAATTAGCTACATGTTTGTTAACATTGCTATAGAAATGTTTATGTACAAATAATAACCAAACTTCCTCACTGGACACAAAGTGACCAGCCACCCCAAGCTCCTCTTCTTGGCTTGAGCTACTTTGGAAGAGAGCAATGCATTCAAGATTATTGATAACTATATAAGCAGTTTAAAATTTTGTTATGGGGAAAAGCATTTTTAATTACCCATTTGTTAATATTTATCTGTAGATTCACTAAGGTTCAGTATATGCTTATTAAAACATGGAAATGTAATATGATCGCTTGAATTACAGTTAGTTCTGGTTTAGAGACTGTTGCAGTGGATGCCAGTAATTCAGAATAGAATTTGACTGTCCCATCCCCATGCCTTCCCCACCACGATGGACTGTCTCTTAAACTTTGAGCCAAAATAAAGCCTCCCTTCCTTGCAAACAAAGAAAAACAAAACAAAAACAAAAGTGGTAGTATCTTGAACAGTTTTCCACAGGAAGTATTCTAGTATATTATTTAGTATTAGGTTTGTGATTGCTGGGCCTTCTCGATAGAAACTGTACATTTAGGCATGTTTCCTAAGGAAAAGCTAGCTTATGAATCATTTTTGAGGTAGTAATATTTTATGACACTAACATGGTAATCAATAAAAACTAATATTTCTGGCCATAGGTACATTTAAATATGAATTGATTTTACTTTATAGTTTTTTTGATGTTTTGTTTTAATACTTAGGAGTTACCACTTTCTTCCCTAGAGGACTTAAGATGTTGATAGTCCCTAAGGCTGCACATGCCCCAGTCTTCCCTGAGTCTGAAGGAATCTGTGCTATGAAGCCTTGTTCATCTCCTCCAGATCCAATCCCCACCCATGTCCAGCCTGCACTCTGCTCTGGTGATTACTCTTCAGGACTCCTTGGCCCTCAGCATTGTCATTGGATTTGGGCAACAAGGAACTCTGGGTAAAATGATAGGGAATGAGAGAACAATGGATTTAGGGTGTGTTTTCCTGACACTATCTCTGAGAGGTCATCTTGGGCCCACTGTATTTCCTGACCAAAGACATTTTATATAAAGCCTCAGGGTGGTATGACTCTAGATCAATGTCCCCATCAAAGGGACCTGTTCTCCACAGTTCTATGTCATTTCAGTATTCTACTGACTCTCCAGCTCCTTCTCCTGTGCCTTTACTGTCAGAATTCTGTGAGTTCTAGCATCTGACACTGCATTTTTGCATCTCTTTTCCTCACATTTCTGGAGTGAATTCCTTGGCACCCATCATTTACCTGAACCTGGACTGAGAAGACTCAGTGGGCACAGTAGTCTCTGGTGCATTCTGCTCTCACCAAACTCAGATGTTCTCTGGATCTTCTCAAATTCTGCCATACAGACTTGTCTGACTATAATTTGCCTTTTGAAAGTGCATCCAATTTTCTTAGATTCTTTAGCACAGAATGTCCTCATCCATGATCTGAATGTTGATGACCAGTTTCTTCATTTGAACTTTCTACTTTTAAATGATTTCTAATAACATTGAACGTGCTACTTTGCAGAAGTGTTTATAGCCCTGTCTTAGTTCTCTAGACTCTCAGCTCTTTGTCAAGCATCTTTTTTTTTTTGGTTTTATGAGACAGGGTTTCTCTGTATTGTTTTGGAGGCTATTTTGTTTGATTAGTTTGCATTCAGAACACTACTAGCAGATCAGTGACCCATAGAAAGTTTTTTTGTGTTGATTGGATTGATGTAACATTATACAGGTTTCTATTGACAAATGAACACACGGAGTACAGAAGTTGATTTTCTCTCAGATACCACTCTTGGCAAAGAGAAGGATTCTAAGCCTCCATGTTGGAAAGATCAAATACTGAAGGCTGACTTTATTTTTTCCTGGTCAATGTCATAAATTACTGCATTATAAAGTGCAGCAGTTAGAGATAATTGGAACTTGGGGGATATGGTGGATTGAATGAGAATGCCCCCCACAAGCTCATGTGCTTTCATGCTTGGTCTCAGTGAACTGTTTGGAAGGATTGGGAGCTGTGACTTTGTTGGAGGAGGCAGGTCACTAGGAGTGGCTTTGAGGAATGAAAAGCCAATGCCAGGATCAGTGTTTCTCTCTGCCTGATGACTGCAGATCAGGATATAAAGCTCTCAGCTTCTTCCCCAGGACCACACCTGCCTGCCTGCTGCATGTTCCCTGCCATGATGATAATGAACTCACTTCTGAAACTATAAACAAGACCCCAGTTAAATGCTTTCTTTTATAAGAGTTGCCTTCCTCACAGCAACAGAACAGTAACAGGGATGAGGAAACATCTTGAAAAACTTTAATCCCCTGTTCCTAAGAACATTGAGGGCCGGTGATTTGTCCAAGTCAGAAAAAAAATGAGTTAGGATTTGCCACTTAGTCATCAGTTTGTTCTCTTTATCCTTTTCTGTTATTTTTCTTTTGTGCATCCCCAAAAGATAGCTGTCAGAGATGGGCAAAGCTGGGGTAAGCTGGTCTCCTGAGATTAGCCTTTGGTATAGCATGTCCATACCAAGCTTGCATGGAATCTGTACATATTTTCTTTTCTCCTATATTACCTTGCCATTTAAAGTTTTCATAGCTTCAACTGCATCTTCTCGGTTACTGAAATGCACAAAGGCATAGTCTCGTATCTTCTTCACTCGTTCCACGGCGCCTGTAGATACAACGACAGCAACACCATTAACAAACTCGAGACAGCGAATGTGATTAGCTTCCAAGTGTGTAAGCACCTCGTGAGGCTATTTTGTGTGTCACAGTTTAAAATTCTGTGTAGTCAGCATGAGCCTTTGTTTGCCATAAAATACTTATAATCTTATTAATTAGAAATAGTTATGAATTATGTCTTCTAATACCTAGATTATAAGACAACGAAGGGTAAGAATGGTATCTTTTTGCGTGTGATGGAATATAAAAGATAACACTCTCTAAAGGCAAAGTGTTATTAAATTGACTTGAATCCTGTTTTTGGTCATCTTATATGTGATGCATTTATACAAACTCCATTTAGTCTTTAGACCAGAGTAGACTTCCATGTACTCACATGGAAGGATCCACATGATATTGTCTGTTTCTAAAATTTATAAAAGGATAAGATATAAATGTCTGTTCTAGATATCTCAACCCACACACAAATTCCTGTACACCTGGAAAGGTGAAGATCAGACTGCTAGAAATAGTTTCTTCAGGGATGGAGAGAATGTAAATATTTTGCACATTTATTCTATTTTTAGTTGCATGCATATGTGTATATGTGTCTGTAGTTATGGGCCTGTGAGCACAGGTATCTTTTCCAAGAGCAGTGCAAGCTTTTATCACTAAAACATCTCTCCAGCCCCCCAAATGAAAACATCTTAATTGACATAGTTTTATAAATATTAGTCATTTTAATTTAGTTTATCATGTAAAAACATCCAGAAAGCAGCATACCCCATTTTTATGTGAAAGACTGCTGAGCGTGTTGATGGTAATATGTGAAAAAAAAAGTAGTTACACCAAGATGCTGGATGCTCTCTTTTAGTTGTAGTTGATGACTTGGTTTTCAAAACAAACTTTTTCTTTAGTTGTTGCTTAAGTGGAAACTTGTTTCACTACCACTTGAGCATGCTGGTTACCTTTCAACTTACACTAACCTGGGTGTCTTTTAAGCATCTAGGTTTTCTTCACTTACCCATAGTTCCCTGGGCCCTTGTGATGTCACACTATTTTCAGGAAGAAGAGGAAGAGAAGAAAATCCTCTCCCTATCAAAGTACACTTCTCTCAGACTTAAGGTCACTAAGGCATTTAGCGCTGGCATTCTACTGCATGGTCCAATGACTATGAATTACTTTCCTTTGGAACAATGGGTGGTGAATAATCTAAGTCTAACATTTAAAATATTGCAGTCATTTGCTTCTCTCTTCCCTAAGTAGTCAGCTCTTGGCTTCTTATGACAATCATTATACGAGCAAAATTATCTGGCTAGACTGGGAAAATTAAATAAAGGCACATGAGCCCACAAAGCCCAGGACGTATAATTAACTGAGCTTCTAGGTCTGTCTCTTCATTCTTTTTCTGTGGCATGGAGTGATGACAATGGCTACATTCCATGGCTTGTCTTGGTAATGAGAAGAAAGGAGTTAGCCAGGATGACCTTCATCCTTCATTCCACTCTGCTCCCCTGATCTAGCTATAGTTTTCTGAGGGGGAAAATATGTTTTCTTTAGCTACAAAAAATATCACCTCCACTTACCTCTTGCCTAGTGCCAAGGATACAAGAGTCAGTCTTTCAGTAAATACACATAGAACCAAAGTATTATCAGTCCATTTCCATATGCTCCCAGAACTCACATTAATCATGTAGCATTTATGTTGATAATGGGTATGGGTGTTCTGAAATTCTTGCTAATGTTTCAATCATTATGCCTGTTTTGGAGGAGTAATATTCAGACACCTCTGCTTATGGAAAACTTCCTTTGTGAACCTCTGAGCACAGAAAGTCAATTAGAATGTAGGGGTTTGAATAAGACAATGTCGATTTCTCCTGTCTAAGAATTAACCAGACCTAGCCATGGTTAGAGACCAAACAAGAGCCTGCATATTCATGGTTATATTGTCAAAGACTAGCTTCTGTGCAATAGCAATGGCCATATACCTCACTTTAACACACTCCTCCTTGGGGCTTGCAATCATTTCCCATGGGTAGTCGCATCAGCAAAGAACTAGGTCTGTGCTCTGAACACAGGAATTAGAAAAACAGACTCAAGGGGTAGTCCCCAACCCATTAGCATCAGCTTCACCTGGGAATTTAAGAAATACAAATGTGTAGACTTAACCAGATGGGTAAGCAACCTGTGATTTTAGCAGTCCTTAGGTGAGTCTGTTACTGCTTAACAGTTTAAGGAATCAGATTTCATAGAATGACAATCTAGACTTCATGAGAACAAAATATTGATGGGCCCGGGTTTTTGTGATGATTGTCATTTGTTTTCCAGAATGAATGAAACATACTCCATTGACTTCCAGCACTCTTCTATATGTGACTTCTCTTAAACACGACTTTTCTCTTTATTCCAAGAGTAGGATGACTTAGCTATCACTTTTCTGTAAATTCCTTCCATGCACAGCTCACATCTGTTAATTCCTCCCACAGTGCATGGCATGTTGGAGCTACTGAAGGAGCAGCAGCTGCACGAATGAATAAGTGAATGGAATGAGCACGGGTGTGGGGGTTCATAGAGCTGTTAAATCTGGGATCTTCCAGCTGCTAGCTGTGTGACTATTTAACTACTCTGGGCTCTGGTTTTTGTGTGTAGAAAATAATAGACACCATGAAGGAAACTCCATGCTAGGGTTATTATGATGAATAGATGGCATGTGATGCAAACACACCCACTCTAATTCTAGTGGATTTGTCTTTGCAGTTTCTGTATTAGTTATGGATTCACAGCTGTTGGTATGTAGCCACACCATGATACTAAATATCAGGAAAGGAAGACTTCTTGAGGCTGAAGGAAGATAAATGTTTGATAAGTCTTTAAAAGAAAAAAATGTTATCACTGCCAATTATCTGCAGAGCAAACCATAAGCCTATCCTCCTTTTATACATGTAACACTGTATTCACTTATTGTTAGAAAGGGACAATCTGAGAATGCGAAGACTGCCAGAGGCTTAACATAACAGAACCACTGCCCACACTTGTCAGAATCCTATAGAACTTGCCAGAAGCCCAAGAAATTCTCAGTTGTGGGAAGATGTTTCTATAATAAACACAGGCTGGAGTGACTGAGCATGTTCTCAGGCACACTGATGGAAATGACTGGAGATACTTTGGGCTGTTATCTGGGGTAGGTTGTTATAGCTGGCATGTGGTAGGAATGGACCTTGCATTTTGCTCAATACCTTGAAATCTACCGGACCAATATTTATCACCAAGGATGATTTGTTCCAAAATTTCAGTAGCAAAGAGGTTGGGAAACCTTGTGTTGGTGAGACATCCAGAAAGAGGCAGGTATCACTAACATAGTAAATATTTACTTAGTTCTTAGTCTGAAGGTCTGGGGACAGAGGAGCTAACTAAAGGGAGAAAAACTCACAGAGTTTGGTTTAGCAGGAGTAATATGTACTCATTAAATAACCACAGAGGTAATGTAAATCATAATATTCCTAAATACTGTAGTACCATATGTCCCTTTCTGATCCCAAAATGGAAAAATAATTGAACAATATGCAACCAATTAAGAGAAGGGACTTAATAAAAGATGTTCTCTTTAATGTTGTGGGAAATGGCCTTTGGCCCAACTGCTTTTAAAGTACACTTTGAAGAAGTAATTACATATGTGTCCTACCTGGTTTAATACTGTTGAATTCTTTTTCAATCATCTCTTCTGAGGTAGACAGCATGAGGTTCCTTACGTAAAGGATTTTCACTGAAGACATCGTGTCTTCATCAACTTCGACTTCTGGCTCTGCCCAGTCTACTGCAATAGGATGTCCCCATAACTGAATTCTTCCTATTGACAATGATCATAAGAATGATTAATTATTTAGAAATCACGACATCATCTCAGCTCACACTGATGGTCTTTTAAATTGAACAGACTGTTAAGGTCTTAAATGACTAAGACCACTAAAAAAGATTATTATTGATTTTAAGACATTCAAATAATGCAAGAGTTGGATAGAAGAGGCTTCTGTGTGACTAGTGGCTTATCATAATGATTGAATGTAAAGAGAAGTAGGATGTGGTTTGAAATGGAGAAGATGTGAGGAAGTGGTGGGCACACTGGACTCTCAGGACAGCTTTTAAAAGGAGGGGGGTAATTTTTAAGGTGAGATAATAAAAGGGAAGAACAGAGTGGATTTAGTGCCCAGACACAAAGTCTGACTCCATGAAGCATTAAGAGGTCATTGGGACAGCATCCTCAGTAGATGAACTATATTGTCTATTAGCCAGAGACCACCAATGAGATACATACAAATGCTTGGGTAAGACCAAGCATTCTTTGTTCTCTGTCACTCATACTCCATCCAGGGCTCAGACTAACTGTGTTCCTTCCACATACTCTGTCTGAACATGGGCAATTTGGGATCTCACAGATAACATACTTTTAAAAATCCTTATTCAGAGAAGACTAAGGAAAAGTTGATGATAAGAAGTTTAACTTCTCTTCAAAGAGTAGTTGTAGTTCAAGTCAGCACACATTTCTGTACTCCTACAGTGGTAACTTACTGAATGTTTCTCACTATATTGTGTGTTTCACATGAGCCTTTTAGCTCTTTCTTGTCATGACCTTGTGAAAGGAGGGGTGACACCCAGTTTTACAGCTTCAAAATGGATCACTTGACAGAGGAATTTCCCTTTATTACTTCTCTCCAACCATATTCCTGGAGGTTCCATGTTGAAGTGATGGGATAAGGATGAGAAATCAACTCAATTTCCAAATTTTATGGGAAATCTATTCCCCTCCTACCCATTCATTGATTGGGAGCAAGCTGTATCTTTCAGAGCGCACAGAATTTGACAGGGAAAGCGAATGTCCATCCTTTTATTCCTTAAAAACAAATGATGATCTTTGACATAGGTGCCAAGGGCATGCAACACAGAAAGTATCATCTTTTTAAATAAGTAGCACAGGGAGCATTGGGCATAATGGTGCTTGTGAGGCTGAGGCAAGAGGAGCTCAAGTTTGAGACCAGGCTGTGGAGAGGGGATTGGGTGGGGGGTCTGAGGGGTCTGGGGGGAGTGGGCTTGGAGGGGAGAGAGAGGGAGCTGGGACTGACATAGGAAGCAAGCTTGTTTCTAACTTAAATGTATAATAAAAACTTACAATGGCAAAAAATAAAACATGTAATGAAGCTGGGCAATGGTGGCACATGCCTTTAATCCCAGTACTTGGGAGGCAGAGGCAGGTGGATATCTGTGAGCTTGAGGCCAGCCTTGTCTATAAAGCTACACAGAGAAACCCTGTCTTGAAAAAATTGTAATTATCAAAAAAACCCCCACAAAATTAGTGGGTATCCTAATCCCCAAGTAGATACCAGGCCTTTATTCTAAGCCATATAAAAATAGTAAGCCAGGGCTGGAAAAATGACATTTGCTGCCCTTCTAGAAGGCCCGCTTTCAGTTCTCAAAACCTACAGGGTGGCTCACAGCTGTCTTCTAAGTCCAGTCGGAATGGATCCAGCACCCTCTTCCAGCCTCCACAGGCACCAGGCACTCACTCTATACACAGGTATACATGCAGGCAAGACCCCCCCCATAGACATAAAACAAATAAATAAAAAAAAGAAATACTAACTCAAATGGAATAAAGACCTACACGTCAGACCTGAAACTATAAAACTACCAGAAGATCACACAGGATAAACGCTCCTTCACATTGGTCTGAGCAATGGTTTTTCTTTTGGAAATGATTCCAAAAGGCGCTGGTAATAAAGTAAACAGAGGCAAACAGAGTCAGATGAAACTAAAAAGATCTGCCTGGCTGAGGAAACAAGGTATGAAGAGATGATGTAAGAAGACTTTTCATTAGAGGAAAAAAATTAAATAAAATAGGAAATATTAAGAGGCTACGGACACTCTCTCTGTGAGCCTTGGTCACTGGCTAGTGCACTATGGGAAAGCTGCAACACGGAAAAGATTCATCACTTTGATAGATTCATTAGTTTATAGATCTTACACAATCTTTCTCAACTCGGAAGCTAGCATCTAAATGTTGAAAGCTTCTAAAGAACTAAACCTACTCCTGTTTTGTTTCTTATTTAAGAGTATATTCAGGAACTCAGGACCCAGAAATAAACTGACAAACCCATTGGCACCTAGCAGTTGACAAAGGTGTCAAAAACATGCAGTGGGGGAAAAGAAAAAAAAAAAGAAAAGCAAGCCAGCCTTTCAGCAAGTAGTGCTAGAAAAACTGGATATCCAGAAGAATAAAATTAGATCCATACCTTTGTTTTAAAAAAATAACAACCAACCAACCAGCCAAACAAACAAAAAACTCAAAGTGGATCAAAGGACCTTAATTTGAAGCCTGAAACTGCTGGTGGAAAACATAGGGAATACTCCTCAGAAGGGACTTTCTGAACAGAGCTCCAATGGCTCAGTCACTGGCCCCAAGAATCAGCAAGGGAGAAGTTTCTGCGTGGCAGACGAAACTATCAGCAGAGCAAGAAGGCAGCCCCTGGGATGGGGATGGTAAAAATCATTTCTAGCCAAACACCAGAAAGGCGGCTAATATTCAGAATTTGTAAAGAAAACTGAAAAAAACTGAACACTCCCCAAAACTGCCAGTCAGCAAAAGTGCTAATGAACAGAGACAGTTTTCAGAAGAAAAAAAAAAAACAAAATAAGACAACAAAGAAATGACCAATAAGTACTTTTAAAAGTGCTCAATATCCCTCGTACCAGAAAAGATAGCACCGGAATAGCTAACATCAAGACATCTGACAGTGAATGCTGGCTACCATGGGGGAAGAAGAATCGTTATCCACTGCTAATGGGAATGCTAACTAGATAGTCGTAGAAGTTAGTATGGTGATTTCTCAAAAAATGTAAGAGAGAACTACAGTGTTATTCTGCTACAGCACTCCTAGGCATATATAAAAAGTACTCCATATTCTACTGGAGATATTGGCATGTTTATTACTGCTCTATTCATGATATTAAGGAACAAGAACCACCTAGATGTTCATCAATAGATGAACTGACAATGAAAGTATGATACATCTGTGCAATGGAATTTTATTCAGCTGTAAAGAAAAAGGAAATTAGGAAATTTATAGAATAATGCATGGATCTGTATGCTGTTTAGTTTGGTCAACTTGACAGAAACTACTGACACTTGAGAAGAGGATATCTCAGTTAAGAAATTGTGTTTATCACATGGCCCATGGGAATGTCTAGGGAGAATTTTCTTGATTACTAGTTGATAGGGGAGGATCTAGCTCCCTGTGGGTGGGGTGCCACCCCTGGGCATGTGGTCCTGGGTTATATAAAAAAGGTAGGTGGACATTAGCTAGCAAGCAGGCCAGTAAATAGTGTTCCTCTGAGATTTCCCGTTTCCATTTCTGCCTCTAAGTTCCTGTCTTTGATGGACTGTGTAGAACCTTTGAGCCAAATGAACCCTTTCCTCCCCCAGTTGGTTTTGGACAGTATTTTGTCACAGCAACAGAGACGCTATCTGGAAAGTATGGTATTAAATAGGGGGACCCACACTCAGAAAGACACAAACTGTGTTTTCTCTCACATGTAGATCCTAGCCTGAAATGTGTATGCAAGAGTCTGTAAATAGATGTAAATGTGGGTCGAGTTTGAAAACCTAAAGAGAGAGAGAGAGAGAGAGAGAGAGAGAGAGAGAGAGAGAGAGAGAGAGAGAGAGAGAGAGAGAGAGAGACCAAAAAGGTTACAAAAAAGTTCTGAGGAGGATGAGGAGGGCAAAGGGACACTTGTGGTGTAAAAGTAGGCAAAAGGCTAGGGGAGGGTGTGAGGGGGACCAGAGGAGATAGAGAAAAAGAAGACTGGGGGAAGGGGAACCTAATAAAACACTCTGAAAACGCCACACTGATACCTAATGCCTTGTATATTAATTTAAAAAGGTGTGTATATAGGGCTAGGACATAGCTAAGTGGTAGAATGCTGGATTCTACATAGCTCACTCAGTTCAGTCAACAAACAGCACTTTAAAGAAAAAGCACAATCAAGAAAAACTGTATAAGGGCAAAATAAATCCAGAGTTTTGTTGTTTTTCTCAATCTGGTGACTCTCATAGTTTTCATAAGAAGAGTGAACCATAATGCCATTCTAGATCAGTAGTTCTCAACCTGTGGGTTGCAACCCTCTAAGGGGCGCATATCAGACATTTACATCACAATTCATAGCAGTAGCAAAATTATAGTTAGGATATGCCAATGAAATAATTTTACGGTTGGGGGATCACTGTAGCATGAAGAACTGTATTAAAGGGTTGCAGCATTAGGAAGATTGAGAGCCACTGCTCTAGATATAATTCCATTAACAGGAATTCATGTTAGCACCTGACTGCACATTTTAGTGAATATTTTAGTGAACCAAGGACCTTTGAATATTTGCCTGCATTTGTCTGACTTAGGCAGTGTTGTCGGGTTATTAAACTCAAGAATTGATGTAGGTGCCCACTCGTGTGGATGGAGCACCTAGCAGAGGTATCTAAGAAGAATGTTTGTTTTTTCTCCAGTGCTATGGCAATGTTTTAGAAGTTGGGAAACACATTGATGGCATGCCTACCAGTTGTCCTTGGGATGGTGTACTACAGGCTGCTGCTTGCCTACATTGTGATAGGTTGAACATCTAACCAGCCTGTACATTTAATCTACATGCCACTATATCCGTGATGAATTCGTTTAATCTTTTTTCCCTTTTTAAATTTTTACTTTCTTTTTTCTGTTAATTTTTTTCAGATTTGTTTAATCTTACCAAGATTATTCACTGAGTATTCTCTGTAGGATGACTACTGATCAAAGTTCTCCTGATGTACTGGTGTGTAACTTTCCAAAGCACATTTGGGAAAACTTTAGGGAACTAAGACAACTGTGAGAAAAATGAGCAAGATGAAGGGCTTTAAAGGCAGCCTAGCAAGGAAGCTCAAATACTGCACGTGGAGGACAGCCGTCTGCACGGAGCACTGGAGGACAGTGGTCTGCACGGAGCACTGGAGGACAGTGGTCTGCACGGAGCACAGCACAGCTAGCTCAGAGGGATGCTCACCTGGCAGCAGCCTCCTCCTAGCCATGGCGGCTGCGCGGTGACTCTCATATTCCACAAAGGCAAATCCCCGGTTTTTGGTTTTATCTGCCGCGCTTGGGTAGACGATGACGTCAACGACCCCTTCTGTGACCTTTTTCATCTCTGATAAGATTTCTTCTCTCTTTTTGGTTTTGGGGATTCCTCCCACAAACAATCGGCAGTTGTCCACACTGGCACAGACTCCTAGCAGACGCCCATTCCTATGAGGAAAAAGGGAGTTTTCGTAGGTGAGAATGCCCGTGTAATGGAGGGTGGTGGCAGAGGTTACGAATGAGTACCACTTTCAAAGACTGTTTTCTTTAGAGGTCTGAGGATGTTTCAAAACAGACTAACACCCTTGCTTGCCCCCTTCTTTTCTGGTGGCTTGAAACCGGGACCTTCCAGTGCCTCATAGATTTAGACACTGACCTGCAAACGCAATTCTGACCTCTGAACTTTTAAAGAAAGATGGGATGTGGGTTCACCATTCTCACCATTTCCCAATATCCCAGTTCCAAGGCTGCTATACTAGGCCCTGTTCCTCACTTCTACTTACCCTGTGCCACTGGGGTTTGCCACGCCTCATGATTCATGTATATTGTCACCTGACTGAGAAGCTGTTCTGATATGATTACTATTAACCCCCACCCCCGATAAAAACAAAATTGAAAAGAACCAGCAAGATAGTTCAGTGGGTAAAGGTGCATGTTAATAAGCCTGTTGATCTGAATTCGATCTCTGGACTCAATGGTGGCAGGCTAGAACAAATTTCCATAAGCTGTCCTTTGACCTCCACACTCAGGGTACACACACACACACACACACACACACACACACACACACATACACACACACACACAGTAAATAAAATAGAAATAGTGTCTTGTCTGTAACAGATGATTTTCCTATGTTAGCTTAGTTGTCCCATACAAAAGAGCCTGAAGGATGAGCAACATAGTTGTGACTTCTGTTTTAGAGACAATGGACTCGAGATTCCAAGAAATGAAGTGATTTGGTTAAGAGTATTATTGATTGTGAGAGGTAAAATTGGCCCTTGGGCCTCTCTTTATTCTACTTTGTGGCATTGCCTATTAGTAAGATAGAGGGAGGGTACCTTCGCTGGCATGGATAGCTGACTAAAGACTAAACAGTGCTCCTCTGAAATAAACCCTCAAAACAGAAGTGAGGCCCAAGCCATGGGTATGAAGATGGTCACCATCAATTAAAGCATCCAAACTGTAAATGAGCAGTGTCTCCCAGCATAGGCATGTTCTGAGGGAGCTTTGGTGAGATGATACTTTCTTGTGCCTGGACATTGCCTTATTGAGCACCATAGTACATTATCCCTGGCTTTTTAAAACTACTTTTCTAGTTTTATGTGTATGAGTATTTTGCCCACACCTATGTGTGTGTATCAGAAGAGGGTTTTGGATCTCCTGGGACTGGTGTTTCAGACAGTTGTTAACCACCATATGGGTGCTGGGATCTAAATCAGATCTTCAACAAGAGCAGCAGTGCTCCAAACTGCTGAACCATCTCTAAGACCCTGACCCCTGGCATTTGATCCCTCAGTGATGATGAAAAATTGCCAAGTCATCCAAAAATGTCTTCTCCTTTCTAAGTGTCTTTTGAGGGTGGACATTGTTGCTTCTGACTGAGAACCTATAGTAAAGGGAAGATGGGCTTTCATGCTCAAGGATTCTTTGCAGCCATTAACAATAACAACATGGAAATGTGTTTGACAGTTATGAAGCACTCTACATCACACTGCTCAGTTTTTTAAAAATAAAGAATATAAGAATAAATATGTGGTACCATTCTGTTTAAAAATATGTAGAAAATCTGGAAAGACAATCAAGTATCAACATAACATCTTAAGCACCAGGGTTATGGATGAATTTTTTATTTTCAAGACAGGGGTTCTCTGTATAACAGCTCTGACTGTCCTGGAACTTGCTTTGTAGACCAGGCTAGCCTTGAACTCACTGAGATCTGCCTGCCTCTGCCTCCTTAGTTCTGGGATTAAAGACATGCACCACTATGCCCAGTGTGGATGAATAGTTTTAACTTTTATATTATTTGTTGTTTTGATGTTTTCTATGTGTTAAATATTAGGCTGTGGGTTTATAAGTAACTCGAATTACTGAAAACAGTGGGGTATCCTTAACAAAAACCCCTTATTTGTCATGAGGGAAAGGTCTTCTCTAGGCAAGTGGGAGACCAGCCTGCTTTTCTTGGAACCAGTGACTCTTGATTGTCAGGGGTCACCGTCTGGCTATTGCTTATCCTTTGCAGACAAGCCAAGGGCAGGAGTCAGAACCAACAAACCCATCTCACTCTGCCCATATTTCCCACAGAATGTGGTGTCTTGGGCAGGAATGGGGTTCATAAAATCATATTACTTTTTTAAATTTTATTATTCCATTCTATTTTGTTTAAGCAGAAGCTCAGGTTAATCCCAAACTCACTATATAACCAACTATGACCTTGAACTTCCAATTCTTCTGCCTCTATTACTCAAGTGCTGGGATTGCAATTGTATACCACCATACTGGTTTCTGTGGTCCCTGGATTAAAATTCAGGCTTTGTGCATGCTGGGTGGGCTCTAGCAAATGAGTGACATCTTTAACCCTAGTTATGTGTATTTTAAATTTTATTTAAGAAAGCATAAATACATCTCTCACTTATTTAGAGATCATATTTTTGATGGTTTGTGGGCTGTTCTGGTATCAGTTGCTAACAGGAGGAGTCTAGAATGTTTAAACTGTGTGACTGGCCAACATCCTTTCCCAGAATTGCCTGAAGACAAAATGCAATTTCTCACAAGCTTAGGACATGACTTTAATGTCTCCAGGAGCCAGGCATTCAGAGGATGCTCCGTGAATATTTGATGGGGAGGAAGATGATGTGATAACCGTGGATCTTTTCTGGGTAATAGCCTCATTCATCCCCTGAGAAACAGTGGCTGACAGCAGAGTATAGGTTCTTGTTCCTTTCTGGAAGAAAGGTTTTCTCTCCAGCAGACTGATGAAGGCAGAGTGGAGGTTGTGAAGTAAGCTCGAGGTCTCTTCCTGACTAGTTCATGTTGACTTTATCCTACCTCCTAATTTGTAAAGGTTCTCTGTTCCTTTACCTCGCTTCTGGCTTCCAGTCGGGGATTGGCCTGTGATCCTGGCCACGTTCCCTTTCCAAATTCTTTATCATATTTCTTTCTGCCCCACTTTCCACTACTGCAATTGCCAGTTATCTTACAGAGCACCTGGTCCTTTGAGGTGCATAGATTTAAGTACCTTATCTTAGTTTATTTTTATGACATCCTGTGAGTTTTATAGAAAAGACAGTGAGATTCAAGAGGAGACTGTTAATGAACAGTCATCCCAGTAGTGTGATGATATTTATTTTTCAAACCGTCTCTATTTTTAGTAGTATTGGCTGGCCCCAGTGGGTAGCCATGGGTTGAATAGATACCCCAAGCTATCAGTCTCCTACACAACCAATTCCATGTGCATTTCAACTCAAAAGGCACTTTGGGCTAGCCCTTACTGATATTATGTCCATATTTCACAGAAGACCAACGGACAGGAATCTTGCCATCCCTGAAATCATGTAACTAGGACATGAATTCTGTTTGAGGGGCTACCTTAATCTAGCTGAACTATTTTTTAAATGGTACAGCTTTTAATTTGTTTTAAAAATGTTTGCTTATTTAGCTTTATGTGTATGTGTGAGTACCTGCATGTATGTATGTGTCATATTTGTGCTTGATGCATATGAGGCCACAAGACAAAGTCAGATCCCCTGGATTTGGAGTTGCAGGCATTTGTTATTCTCCATATAAGTGCTGGGAACTGAACCCAGGTCCTCTGCAAGAACATCAGGTGCTCTTTAACCACTGAGCTATCTCTCCAGCCCTCTGAATGCCTGAATGCTTTTATTTGTGAATTCATCATAATATGATTTTTTAAATTCTGATATTAGAAAGCAAGGTTAAATTATAGGTTTGCATAGCTCTTTTCACGTTTGTTAATGTATATTATTTTTGTATGATGTTTGGAACATCTCTGTGTTATGTGCCCAAGTGCAAGGATGAAAGTGAGGTTCTGAGAAGGTAAAGGCTTTCACCAAAGGGAAAAACAGTCTAGGTCTCCTGATTGTGAATACAGTCTTTACATCACGCAGATTTCTTTTGGGTTTGTAGCAGTATGTGTGGGAGGGAAGGCATATTTGTGCTTTCTCTCAGACTGTTCCAGAATCCAATCTTAGGATTGACTAGCTGACCCTTAAGTGAAGCTTGGTTGACCTAAAGATTTGCTTTTTCACTGGTCCTCTCAGGTGGCCTGGGGCATCCTTTAAGAAAGGATTTATTGTTTTGTCTCAAGTGAAGTTCAGAAACCAGACGGTTTTATAAAAACAGATTATCTATAGCACCAGTTATGTCCTGAAGCCTTCCTGTGGCCCCATGGTTTTAAATGCCATAGAAATACTGTCACTGCTCTTTCAGACCCCCCTGAATGAGGATGTGAGTTTGGAGGTATGGTTACTCTATGGGGCCTCTGGTTGTGGATCAGTATTTATTTCTAGTACACAAATGGATTTGGGAGCCCACTCCACGCAGAGGGATACTCTCTCAGCCTAGACACATGGGGTAGGGTCTAGGCCCAACTCCAAATGATGTGACAGACTTTGAAGATTCCCCCATGGAAGACTTTACCCTCCCTGGGGAGCACAAAGGGGATGGGGATAGGGGGTTGGTGGGGGGCAGGGGAGGAGGGGAGGGATAGGGACCTCGGATTGACATGTAAAAGAAGCTTGTTTCTAATTTAGATAAAAAATAGAAAACAAAATAAATGCTCTTACTGTGACTCTTCTCCTGCTTCTACTCTCATACAGTCACCCTATGTCTTGCCTGGGATATCTAATGTGCATCTTTAAGGTCAAGCACCTCAAATGGAACATTTCATATGCTTCCTGCTTTCCCCCTAGTCTCTATCCCAATGGTCACCCACTCTCACAGATACTTGAACCCAAATCCCATGTTATATCCCCAATACTGGGTGTACTCACACCCGTATCCAGTCATGATGTTCCCCTCTTCCAGATTCCCCAGTATGTCTAGTTCTTAACCCTTTCTGTTACTCTTGCTTGTGATCCCTCCTCGAGTCGTTGTCATTCCTCATCTAGGTCTAGAACATACTTCAGCCCTGGCTCAACTGTGGTTCGCTGTCTACCCAACAGCCATAACAACGCTTCAAAACACATAAAGCTAATTAAAATTCTTTTCTACTTCCAGGTCTTTATGTTAGTAAATTCTGATTCTTCAGCAGGGCTGATGTTCTCCAACTATACTGACTTTAACCATCTTTTCTCTTTCCCCTTCTGGAGTTTTCTTACTGTCTTTCAAACATACCCAACATCAAATTTGTTTTCATTTTAGGAATTTTGTACTTTCTATTTGTTTGCTTTTTTTCCCATTAGTAACCTTGTTTGGGCTTGATTGTCTTGACTGAATTTTTCATCCAAATATCAGATCAAATTTTACTTTCTCAGACAGTATTTTATTAAAACAGCCAAATTCAAGTAGCATTTTCTTCACATAACTTATCCCTCCTTGTTTTTATGTTTTCAACTTCTTTATTTAATCTTCTGTGTTTGTGTTCTATGGAAACAGCGAATACCTTGATGTATTTCTAATCTCTTGAGCAGTATTCAGTATGTATTAATGAAATTAGTTAACTAATGAACTTTATCTCTGTGAACTTTGATATCTCACACAGTAATGAGATTAATGTTTAGCCAGATCATTTCCACCAAGGAAAGTCTAGCATTTTATTTCGAATTTTGCTAGCTTGTGCACATACTCAATTAAATAAATTTGATAGGAAACAGATTCAGGTGAATTTCTGGATTCAGTTTGAGTCTAGAAGATGAGGAACTTACCTAATTTCATAATTATTAAGTTGCTTGATTGCATTCTTGGCTTCCTGCTTATTTGAGAATGTTACAAATGCAAAGCCTCTGTTGTTGCCATTAAAATCCATCATCATTCTCATTTCATAAATTTTACCAATCTGTAATAAATAGAAACAAAACATTCCTATTTACAGATTTATACTCCAAATGCACATGTGGGTACACACACACACACACACACACACACACACACGTGCACACACAGGCACACACAAGATGTTTACTGAACTGTCTCCTACCATGTTTGGCATTTGTATCCATGGGGGATGGCTTGCATACTTTTATGGTGGCTTCAGATTAGTTATCTAACTCTTGGGAAAAGTCAAGTTAAATAAAGAAAATATAGACAAATAGCATTTCAGCCCCAGCTAATGAAATGTGCTTTTGGCTGAGCAAATGACCTTTGTCATACAACTATCTGGAGATTTATGTAATGTCTTAGGGATCCCAAAATCCATTTGTCATCAGTAGTACATTTTCTTGCTAGAGTCACCCAGGCCTTCTGAGTTGTCTTCTAATGTCTCTGTGGATTGACCTTTACTTGGTTACAGTCTGCCACTGACAGGAAACAAGGATACTCTCTGGGGACATGCTAAACTAACTTCCTGGCTGTCTTTTCCCCACTGCCATGATGTCAGAATGAATATAATGTATCTCATAGGGAGGTCTCTTATTTTAGCAGTTTCTAGGTTGAAAAGGAATGCTAGCCTCATACAAGTGACAGGAAATCAGAACTTCACAGCAAAAGAACACTTGCTTTCCGTCCATTCTGTCTTCCTTCTGCTTGCCCTTAATCTCCTTCTCCTGTACTCCAACTATCTTGAGCTAATCCAAGCTAAGCAGTTCATTACCCCTAACTTTTGGAAACGGGGTGGTTCAAATACATAGTAGGTATGTGGGAGGAGATGCCCGTCAGCCTGCTCATTCCTTCAGTTCTTGGCTGCCCTCTGCTTAGCCTCATTCTACTCAACTCCAAAGAACTCACTGAGGAACATCTATTTATTCTTGGTGAAAGAGTGAACTTGTTTTCTGTTTCATGTGTCACCCATTCTCCTTTTCATGTTAAGAATAAAAAGATGCACAAGATTTTTGGTATGCTCTCTGAGATTCTGTGTATAAAACCAGTGACTTTAAACCATGGGCTGCAAATCATGACAATTGATTTTCGTAATTTAGGGGAAGAGCCAAATTCTCATGTTAAATGTGCTAAATACACCTGTCAAAGTATTAAAATTAACTTTAAGATTGCATTTTTTCTAAAATTTTGAGAATGGTATCAAAATGCTATTTGGAATGAAGGAAATGTTTTCTTTAGTAATCATGAAAGGACATTGAATAACCATGTTCTTAATCTGTTCAATGCACGAAATAAGATAACCTCACTCAATCAAGTCTACTTGCAGAAGAAAATTTTATTTGAATAAATGTGTAAAGGCACAAATTTAAGCCATGACAAGCATGCATAATTTCTTATATGAAATGCTGCACTTTATAAAGACAGATTAAGATGTCAAGTTGGAGAAGTATCTTATGTTTGACAATTGCTATACTGTTCTGTATTGTTAGATAAATTGAATTTAGAGTGATTCAGATGCCAAGAGATGGGAAAAGAGATATGAAATTAGAGAGTTGTCAGCCATGGCTGTTCAAGTTATCAGTTCAACAGGGAAAACAGCTGGGCAAAGGCACTGATAATAAGGGCACAATCATTAATGGATGGGAAGATTTTAATGCTGTCCATATGTGATCTGAGGGATGTGGAAGTGAATCATCAAACTGGGGAGATGGTGCAGTGAGGGAAGTGCTTGCCCTATGAGCATGAAGACCCACGTGAAGCCAGATGCAGTAGAATATATCTGTAATTGCCCTACAGCGAGCTGGGAGGCCAGGGCAGGAGAAATTTGGGAGCCCATAAGCTAGCTAACCTTGATTATGCAGTAGTTAACAATGAGAGACCCTGACTCAAACAAAATAAAGGTGAAGACTATCTTCTGACCTCCACACATATGTTGTGTTGCCTTTATCCACACACACACATGAACATAAATACACACATTGTATACATACATTTTACACAGAGCTTCGTAAATAGTTGAAAAATAGTAAAAGCAAACTAAAGAGAATAATACTTTTATCCTGAAAGAAAAAATTTATTTTGGACTCACTTTTTCACACAATGGTATGAGTTCATCCTCAAAAAGGTCCCGGGGAAGTTTTCCAATAAAAATCTCGCAGCCTCTTTCTGGGGGTGCAGTATCCCAGCCTGGTGGAGGACCACCATATTTTCTTTGTCCATTTTCCTGTGTGTCCAGGGAAGATGATGCACGAGGGAGAGAAGAAAACATCAAAATCTTTAGCTTGTTTTCCTTATTAAAAATCATTTTAGTTAAGGACTACTTTAGGAAATACATCATTGTCAAGTAATAGTAGTTGATTTGTAGAAGATGAGAATTAAAGACTTGTCTATGCCTATGCGAATCTTAACACGTCTTTGCCTCAAAGGCTTGCTCAAGATAAACATGACTGACACGTGTAAAGTGCTGAACAATGCAAGAAGTTATCCAAGGATGTCTTTCCACAATTTCTCATCAGGTACAATGTTTTAGAGTGAGAGTATGCACACTAATACAGCGAAGTGATCCAAAATCCACTCCAGGTCTAAACAAAGAAACAAAGTTTGTCTTTATGTCTTGTCTTTTGTTTTAAGTAATTATTTTTGTCATTTTATCTTACTGTAGTAAAATATCTAACTCAGTCCCAGTTTCTTAATGACTATGGAAATAGGTTGTCCTACTGTTGTATAAATGTCCCAAAGGCAGTCATTTTGTGCTCTGACTGTCCCTGAGATCTGGGCTCTGATTTAACTTTATGTTCGTGTGTCATGGCAGCACACTTAGACCTGGAGAGTATTGACTCCATTCATTACTCACTAGCTGTGGGACTTTAGAAAAATAACTGAACCTCTCAACACCTCACTTTTCTCATGTGCAAAGTAGGTGTAACAACCGCCTTTGCCCAGAGGGTAACCTGCATCAAATAGGCAAGGTTGGTCCTTGGTCCTTAGCCTATAAGGGTAAGCTGTCAATACTCAGCTGCTATTGATTCCTTTCTTCCCTCTTTCATAAGCCAAGCAATATAGAGACCATCTAAATAGAAAAACATGAAGATTAACATTTGGAGATGTCAATTGACTAATTTGAGGGATGCAGCTGCTGGAAGATTTAAGTCTATTTCTAAAGACAGCATAGTAAGATGTTTCCTAATGCCTTTTTACGTGGTGGGGCAATGATGTTCTCAGTTCAAAGAGCACTAACTTCTCTATTTCTCTCAGATCTAAAAGGTGTTCTTTTCAGAGACAAATGACACTGGTATTTTCCTTCAGTGCCAACTACCTGTTATCCTAGAGGTTAAAGACCAAAGTATGGGCACAGTCTGCTGCTGCTGGTCTGCTGAAGTTCATTTGTTGGAGGAAGATAAACAAGCCACAATGCACTTCAGCATTGTTAGATGCCAGATCATTACATTTTATTGTGACTATTAAAGGTCCCAAATGATGACATTCATTATAAAAGTCACCACTAATATATTAGGTAGTTTTGTGCCAGGACGCGTAGGGTTGTGTAGCAATCATAATATACATATTATGCTCCAGTGTATCACTCCCATCATCCTCAAAAGTAATTTCTGGCAGAAAGTTTATTTTGCCTTCACAAATTTTTTCTGTGTATGCTTTTGAAAGGTATGTTTTAGTTTAAAGACATCATTTTGTGAAGTGGCTGCTTCTTGTTTAAAAAATAAAGCTACTTGTAAGATCACTTCTAGGCCCTGTCTATACCAGCTTCAGTTTTCAGTTATTTTTAAAAAGTGATTTATTTATTTTTATGTGATGAGAAATGCCCTTTTGCCTGCATGAATGTCTGTATAAGGGTGTTTGTACACCCTGGAACAGGAGTTATAGACAGTTGTGAGCTGCCACGTGGATGCTGGGAATTGAAGCTGGGTCCTCTGGAAGAGCAGTCAGTGCTCTTAACCTCTTAGCCATCTCTCCAGCCCCAGTTTTCAATTATTTTCTCAGAGTTTGCTCTAATGCTTTTTTTTAAATTACAGTATTTAAAAGATGTTTGTGGTCAGATTCACCTTTCTGTTCTGAGTTAATTTATATGATGTTGTTTAAATGTATTGCCCTGGTTACTTTTTTCTTCAAGCCATTGGGCATATTTCATCTTACTAAATCTTTAGAGTTTCTCCTATAGAATGTTTGTAATTTATTACCCTGTGTTCTGTTTTTTTAAAACTGGGTCATATGGTATATTTATTTTTAGCTTTTATAGAATTGTCCACACTGATTTCCACAGTGGCTGCACCAGTTTACAATCCCATCAACAGTGAGTGAAGCTTGCAACCCCATCCTCTCCAGGTTTTGTTATCAGTTTTCTTTTTGAGGAGGGGAGGGTGAGAGAGCTGGGATTGACATGCCAAACAAGCTTGTTTCTAGTTTAAATAAAATAAAAAAGGAAAACCGATTACCCTTTATTCTTAAGGAGTTATCTAGCAGCAAAACTTTGATATCACCAACAAAACAAAGAGATTACATATTTTTATCTTCATAAAACAACAGCAAACTGCCCGCCAAGAATGAGGTACCTCAACCGAGTGTGTTCTAAGCATGTCAATTTGACATCGGGAAGATGCTCAAAGTTTTATTTTCTGGTTTTCTAGCTAGTACCTGGATGTCAGCTTCTGAGTGCTACAGAGCGTTCTAGCCCCAAAGCAGTGTTGTGTCGCAGCAACTATCGCTGTTCCATTTTGCAGAAGATACAAGGTCCCAGAGTAATTTGCTGAGGTCATAAGGTTACTATGCAGAGAAGCCAAGCTTTGAACACAGGAAGTCAGCCTGAGTTCATTAGCTTAATGCCTACATATTACAGCCTTGATGCTGGAGAGCCTAGGGACTTACCACCAACACAGATGTTAAACTCAACTTATAAATATGTCTGTTCTACCATTAATCAGAAAGTGCCCTGCCTCACTTAACACTCTTTCCATTCATTTACACAACATTTTGGGGAGAACATATTTCACACTGATTGTATAAAGAAGGGCATATTCTCTCTGTATACAATTCCCTCCCTGGGCCAAATCTTGCCATTTGGGTGATGGCTATCCCTCCTATATTCTTTCTTGTACATTTCAGATTTTTATATCTAATTGTTAGAATACACAGCATAAATTTGCCCAATATTTTTACCCCTCAGATTGAGGGAATCAAACGCCTATCCCATAACAAGTGGCTCTTCTAGAATCTTTGATTACATGAGTTTCCTTTGAATTGAAAATAAATAAGCAATGAACAGAGTGACCTTTTAAAGGTTCATTTCTATTGTCTTCATCGATGTAGTTGCTGAAAATAATAATATGTATGCTATAGCTGTGAGAGCTCCATTTGCTTAAGTGGTTTAGAAGCTTATTAATTGTGTTTTTATGGTTTCCATAAGCATATGAAAAAAGTACCCGATAATAGCTTTTGGGATTGCAGAGTCCAACCAGTCTAGAGATGCCCTGAAGTTCAAGCAATGGGTAACATTTGCCCTGGGAACCACCCACTAGGCTTGGAATGCACCCGCAGAAGTCCCGAGCAATTTGAGGCAGGCGCTGGGCATTAGTCACAAGGTCAGAATAGCTGTCCATCACTCTGCAAGGACAGTGGACTGGTATTTCAGGCCCTATTTTTGTAGCTGAGGAGTTTAAAATAGGGAAAGCCAGACTAAATCTGTGCCGTTCTCTTCTGGCTGATGCCTTCAGGACCTCGTTCTCCTCAGTAACACAAACATATTAATAGTCTAGAAAAAGACTAGAAATACTTTCTTAGAGATCTTTTTTAATGTGAGAGGATGTTTATCAAACTCTGGGAACTTTTACTCTTTACAGCCATCTTTTCAAACCCTTTTCTGTTTCAGCACCCACATAAATAGGTAGAAAACTTTAAACTGTCTAATTAAAAACTGAAAACTCAGTCATAGCTATGAATCCTGTTTCTTTTTTAGGTATTGCATGTTGAGGCTGCCTAGTAACTTAGCTTATGCCAAGAGTGTTTAGAATTCCCTCCCCCACAGATATTTCAAGTTCTTCATGATGAAATTATGGCTACCATCTTCTTTACCTTGGGTAAAACCAGATAACAGTTTCATAGGTCATTCTGAGCAATAAATCTTAGAATTAATGCTGAAAACAAATTGTTTATTTTGTCCACGGTGCATCAGAACCTATTGTGCATTGGGAAAGTCTACCTTCTGAAGGCTTCAAAAATGCAGCTGTTTGCTTTTCTAGCTTTCCTTGCAGCTTGGATGGTTGTGGTTTTTAGTAGTAATAAAACGGAGTTCTGGTATAAAATTTGTAATAGTTCAAACTTGAGTAATGAGCACTTGGTGGTGGTGAGTGACATTTTCTCATCGTTATAAATCTGTGATGTGATTTTATGTTTCATTCATAAAAATTTTCTCTTAACCTGGTTCTCAGAATCCAAACTTTCATCAGCATCTAGGCATGGAGCCTTGTGAAATTTCAATACATGTACATATATGAGCAATGCATGATATATATGTAATGTATACATATATAATATAATAATGTATATATGTAATACATAACATACTGAGTTCATTTAGAGTTGCTCGTAAGTATGCATGTAACAATAATAAAGAGGAAGAGACCATGAATTTGAGAGGGAGTTGGGAGTAGGGGCAAATACAAAATTTTAAAGATATAGTACTCTTTTTAACATAAGATATTTCGGTTTTACTAGCCAGAATTGACTCCTGTTATTTGCACATAAAAATAATGGCAGCAAAACAACAGTTTGCCATCACTGAGCCAGTCTACGAATGCATTAACTCACACAGTCTTCCTCATGTGTGAATGAGGTAACCCAGACACAGAATGCACCTAAACTCATGCATATAGTATTAATAACAGAGACACAAGTGAATCCTAAGGCCATGCTTTTAGTCACAACATTGTTCTCCTTGGATCATACATTGTTGTCCCATATTCTCATTTTATGGGGAAAAACACAGGACTGTTGTGCTCTGCCCACCCATAGTTCTGGACATGTATCTTGATATATTGCTCCAATATCTAGGTGCCTGTTGTATTCTAGATATAAACTGGTGAGGGACTTGGCAGACCCAGTCATGTGTTTTGGGATTTTACCATCTATAATTTAACCAGTAGCCTCTGTGTATAAACGGAAGATAGTGATTTTCATGTGGGGTTGTGTCAATAAACATGGAGTACTGAAAGA